TGTGTGTGTGTATGTGTGTGTGTGTGTGTGTCCTAGGACAGACAACGAGGAAATAAAGGGTAATCTGCTTATGCCGTAATCTGCCGGCCGGCTGTCAGTGCATATAGGCAGCTTTCAGTGTGTAATTTAACTTCCTGTCACTTACAGGTGAAGATTGCAATGAGTTTAACTACACTTGAGAACAAACGTCACTGCTTGATAAATGTTTCACTTCTTTGTTGGACAAAATTCTCTGAGATTCCATATTAGCCCGGTTCTGTCAACACTGCACTGGCTACCTATTAAACATCGTATAGATTTTAAAATCTTGCTTATTACTGCAGCAGCTAGAGTTCTTACTAGAACCAGGAAGCATGACATATTAGCCAGGTTCTGTCAACACTGCACTGGCTCCCTATTTAACATCGTATACATTTTAAAATCTTGCTAATTACCTATAAAGCCTGAATGGTTTAGCACCTCAGTATTTGAGTGAGCTATTGTCACAATATAGTCCTTAACGTCCGCTACAATCTCAAAACTCTAGCAATTTGATAATACCTAGAATATCAAAATCCACTGCGGGTGGAAGATCCTTTTCCTATTGCGCCCAAACTCTGGAATAACCTACCTAACATTGTACTTGCTACATCGCTAGAAGAATGGCATCTACGCTAATATTAGTCTGTTTCTCTCTTATTCCGAGGTCACCGGTGTGTTCAATTTTGACTCTTAGTGTTTCCACCTGGGTAATTGTTTGCTAATTGAGCTCAAGCTGTGCTGACTTGAGTGAACAGCATTGAATGCTAGTGCTTTCTAAATGACCACATGGTGTAAGCACTGAGAAATGTAGGGATTTGTATGTAGAGTTTTGCAGTAACAGTTCACCAAATCTGACTCGTGTGTTAAAGCAGGGGAATAGTGTTTATAGTTCAGCAAAATGCGTGTGCTTTTTGAAAAATGGTGTTATGGTTTTGAAATTTTAGTTCAAAAGCCTGGTTATAGTGTTTTAGCAATCGAGAAAAACTGTAATAAGGAAATAATGTACACATGTATATGGACACCAAAAGTACTCAATATAGATAAGGGAAATAAATCAAACTATCATCAAATCAACAATTTGAAGGACCGATTTATTTCCCACAAATATTTATTTATTTTATTAAATTTTTTGGCCCCACGAAACACGGTGGGGCTATAGCCACTTTGTAAAATGGATGGATGAATGATAAATGGGTGATTCAGCTGCCGGCGCCATCTTCTGGCAAGACATTCGGCACGCGACTCTCACAGTGCATTATGGGTATTCTCTAGCTGTCGAGCACACATCAGTTGTACACTCGTGTAACAATGTCAAGGACTTGAGAAGGAAGAGGACAGGGTCGGCTTGACTGCTGCTGGGGTTTTTATTCAGCTTCAAACAAAGTAAACAGAAAGTCGCGCTACCAGCGCTCAATATAGCACAATTGCACATGCACAGTCACAATCACAGGGCTCTCCAGAGCAGGCATAGTCTCTCCCCAGTCAGCAGTCGGTCTCTTTCTCCCTCACAGCTCATTCCCGGGCCTCTTTATGCGGTCTCTCCACGCCAGTTACTGGAACCAGACACAGCTGTTCGTCATTTGCATTTGACCCACTTACTCACCGCTCGTCTCCCAACTCTCCCGCTGCAGACCTCGCTGAACCACGCCCCCCTCGCCACATACCCCCACCGCCCGACTCAGGCCGGTCATGGCGGTCATTTCTGGAGAGGAAGTCGGCTACCGCCATCTGTGCACCTGGCCTGTGGACCACCTTGAACTTAAAGGGTTGTAATGCCAGATACCAACGGGTGATCCGCGCGTTGGTATCCTTCATGCGGTGGAGCCACTGCAG